TACATTAATTAAAAACATAAAACCGACTGTAGACAAAATAGTAATTGTATTGGTAAAAATATTACCAATAGATATTTACATGCAATGTATTGTTTTACCACTTAAAGGAACTGTCGTTATTTTTTTTTTTTTTGCATCTGTACAATGTAACTATTCTTGCCATCTAACCAAAGTGTAATACTGTCTCAATCATGGATTATTGTGCAAAACAAAGATAAAGAGAAGAAGTATTAGAAGGCACATAAACCAATATGAAAGCAAGAAAGAATGGAAAAACCAGGAAAAGAGAAAGAAAAAAGAAATAAAGTCACTTGCACTAAGAGGCTTTACTGGCACCAGAGGAGCACCACCCGGTACCCTCAGCTCTGTGGCTTTGCCAGCTGCGCACACAACTGACATTTCATCTGCACGGGGTTTACACAAGCTCTGAGCACTCTCAGGGTGTGTGGTCTGAATGCACCGATGTCTAAGGACGATAGTCCTGGCTCTTCTGTGAGGCTGTCACTTCTTGACTGGAAGAACCGTGTTTGCTATCTCAAGATAATATCCCGATACATCCTGTACCATCCTCAGAGCTGAGCAAGAGGGGCCCTTCCCTGGACTCTGCATCTTAAAGGGTGCCAACATGACAAACGCACACAGCAGCTTATTAAAGAACACGTGGCACCTCTGTCATTTGGGATCAGTGTTCAGGGCTCACACCACGAGAGCTGCAACCTTCAACACATACTCTTGTGACGAACACCATCAGACCCTGGGGCACCTCTTGCCCTGTGTCCTCAAAATAAGACAAAAGGCGTTCAGGCACCTTGAAGGGTCATGGGCTATAAGGTCCTGATGTCAGAGACAGACAACGCCTTGGGTCGGGGGAGGAACTGGGCAACAAAGACATTTAAATACAAGGAAGACAAATCAGCTCATTAATCCTACCTCCAGATAACACAAACACAAAAAACCAACCAAACAAACAAAAAAACCTCACATAATGAAACAGGGCTTCCCTGTTGGGCCAAATATCCAATTCCTTGCTTCTCTGTCTAATCACGGCTCCAGAGGTGCTCACAAATTAGCACGGTATGTGCAACCACTGCAAACCTAACACATGAGGAACACTTTGCAAAACTGAACAAGTCACATTCCTCCTAAATCTGCTCACATGTGGGTACAGGCATGACAAGCCTAATGGAAGACAGCAGTTCTTTTTACTGGCAACCAGACAAGAGATGGAACAGTAGACTTGCAAGTATCTTAATTGTAACATACTAAATGCTTTGTTTAAAGAGTCATAAATGTCAGATTTACCTAAATAATTCTGATAAAACATGCTTCTAATATTTAAACAGATGTAGGCTACATCCCTACTCTTGTCCTGGCCCCACAAATATTAGCGGGCGTGGACGTGCAGAGATGCAGGGAGAGCACGCTGGTCTTCTTAAAGCTCACATCACCCCATCTTCCTCTCATTCACGAACATGCCAGGTCCTCGCACACTAGGAGTAAATAGCTCTGGACACTGGATGTAAACTCAGGTGGAAAAACAGAATGTAAACACAAAACCATGGCAACAGGGGGAGAGTTTTCCCTGCCAGTAGAGATGAGGAGCTGAGCACTTTGTAGGGGAGGTGGGAGCAGGAGAGAGGAGGTGGGCCGGGCACAGGTCCATGCCACGCCAAGAATGAGAAAGTGTAGGTATCACCAAGATCTGCACACCTGAGGGGCATTCCCTGGTCCCAACAGAGTACTATGCTAAGGGCTGGCACCCTTAGATACCTCGCATCCCCTCACAGCTGTGCAGAGAAGAGACACGCTCCTTTCCGCTTGAGGGGGTTCCCGTGGCTCAGACAGTAAAGCATCTGTCTGCAATGCGGGAGACTTGGATTCAGTTCCTGGGTTGGGGAGATCGCCTAGAGAAGGAAATGGCAACCCACTTCAGTATTCTTGCCTGGAGAATCCCATGGACAGAGGAGCCTGGTGGGCTACAGTCCATGGGCTCGCAAAGAGTCGGACACGACTGAGCGACTTCACTTTCTTTCTTTTTTTGCTTAAGAAGTTTCCCATCTTCACACTGGCATCAACAGAAAACATCTTACTTTGTGCGAAGTGAAATAAGCCAGACATAAAAGGACAAGTGTCCCATGACTCCATCTCTGTGGGGTACCTAGAAAAATCCAACTCAGAGACAGAAAGTGGAATAGGGATGACCGCGGCAGAGTGCAGCAAGAAGGGGCAGAGGGAGTCAGTATTCAATGGGTAGAGAGTTTCAGTTTTGCAAGATGAAGAGTTCTGGACAGGGAGGGTGGTGTTGGCGGCACCACAGTGGGTAAGGATTTCATGGCACTGAAGACAGTTGACATGGTAAACTCTATGTTTTGTAGAGTTTACCCAAATAAACAGACGAGCAGGCATGCAACAGGGAAAAAGAAACGTCTTAGAGGAACTGTGGGGTGGGGGGTGGGGTGACTTCCTTGAACAGAGCAGAGTGCATGGGTTGCTTACTGCTAAGGTGGAAGCCCAGTGGTTACGAACATTATTGTTTTTGAAGAGAACTAGTTTATTTTCATCCTTTGCTGCTGCAGTTAAACCCGCACTACCAGACTTCAGATGGAGAAGCAGGGGTGGGGAAAGAGACTCCGGGGTACAGTTTTTGGCCAACTTGGTGTATCAAGGATGCTTTCAGCTACAGAGGAGATTCTTCAAATGTTCAGAGTCCAGCCATCTAACGTCTGCACTCCCAGCTCAGGTCCACAGCTCAGCTGAGTCACTCCTAATGACAGTTCAGAGCCAGCAGTGGACAAACCACAGCCCGCAAGCCACCTGGACAGAGAGTCTGACGTTCAGAGCCCATTATTTCTCCAGAGCTGCTCATCTCCAGCCCTAGGCATCTCTTCTGATGACAGCTGATGGCCATGGAGCAGAGCAGGGGGCAGGGCAGGGGTCCTGGGCAGCTGCCAGGATTCGTCACGCCAGGCAGAATTCACTCTCAGCTGGCGAAGCGGCATCTGCTCTGTTTTAGCAACACGGCAGTTCAGCCCTCACTCCCGACTCTCAAAAAACACCCACCCACTTACAAGATCAACTGAAACGAAATCGGCTGGAGTGGAAGATATGCCATTCACGAGGGTGAACTAATTTTATTTTGTTTGGGGTGTGGGGTGGGAAGTTATTCAACGTGATAAACATGATTCCATCTGTTGGGAATTTTGCTTTTGACCTCAAAACCAGGAGGAGGCTGGCAAGGTCCGCCTGCAAGGAAGGGGAAAGGGAGGCAGGCACGCTTTGGTGTAAACACCTCCTAACAAACTGACCAACTCGCTGTCCTGGTTTTACCCAGCGATGCGCTCAAAGTTGATTGAAAGAGAAGTTAGGAAGGGAAATATGTTCAACCTCCCCACTATTCAGTGAGTTAATCACCAACCACTGCAGGTACATGTGAGCCAGAGAAGACAAGGTCTTTTTCTCCAGCAGGTCGTTACTACCTACAGAGTCAAGAGCAAAGAACTCAGAAGAAGGTAAAACAGGAAGACAGTACGTGATCAGAGGCTGAGTGACGGGGGACCAGCTTTCAGCGCTCCCGCAGCTCAGAGGCAGGCAGGGACCACCCAAGCCTCAGCCTCCCCTCCAAGCGAGGCCCGCTCTGCAGCCCCTCAGATCTGACCCAGCCCAAGGCCAAAGCTTGCATTCTTCTGGCCGCTTGATTCCAAGTCTGTTGTCTCCCAGTCTCCCCTTGTAAACGCTGCACCCCTGACCTGCCTCCCTAGCCACGGGCCCCATCTGTCCCCTTCTCCGGTGGCTTCCAGGTGCGCCAGCCTCCCTTCCTCCCACACACCCAAAGGGGACACCCTGAGGCCTTGGGGCTTTGGCGACAACTCCTGCCTGGGCCACTCCCCTTGGCCCTCCTCACTTTCCTCCCTCCCCTCATCCACAGCCTCCATGCCTACTGCACCTGCCAGGGCTCTTTCCCGTATTTCTGTGTTCACATCCTCTGCACCCTCCACCACTGAGCTCCCCTCAATGGCAGAGTCACAACCGATCACCCATAACCCCCCATGACCAGCATGGGCAAGGCTTCAAATAACTGTGACATGCACACATCACAGGGAGGGGTAATGACATGAGGCTCACAAAAAGGAAAACCGAATCAGACCTTCTAGAAGAAATAGGATTTCCTGGTGATTGCCTTGTCTTCCTTTTGAGTGAAACAATCTGAAAATCAACTAATTAAAAGACTCTCACTGGAGCTACTAACTGTGCTTGCACGGCAGGCATGACTCGTATGTACTGCCACATGGGAACTCATTTTATTCTCACTGTGCACCCTGGACAAGCCCACGTCACAGATAAAGTAACATGCATATAAAAATTGCTAACCTGCACAAGGGCACAAAGCCAGTGAGGGCCGAGCCAGGATACCGGCCCAGGCAGCCTGGATCCAGAGCCAGTGCTCCAACCACTGAACCAGGCACCAGTTCTCAGGGTAAGTGGCTCCCCCCACCCACCTCCCACCAGTGCCTCATCCCCACGGAGGGAAGCCTCCCATGTCCCCCACCCCGCTGGGAAGATTCTCTGCTCAGCCACCCGGGATCTCTCAGCTGGGCATATACGTGTGTGTATACTGTGCCATCCATTCAGTGGCTTCGTGGTGAGACCTTCACGTATGTCCCCATCTCTAGACAGCTCATGAAACTCTTTGCAACCCTATGGACTGTAGCCCGCCAGGCTTCTCTATGTCCATGGGATTCTTCAGGCAAGAACACTGCAGTGGGTAGTATTCTTGCTTGGAGAATTTCATGGACAGAAGAGCCTGGCGGCTACAGTCCATAGAGTCACAAAGAGTTGGGCACGACTGAAGCGACTTAGCATGCACCTACGGCACCATCTGCAGCAATAAAAAGGATGCCAGGAGCTCAGACGCGTCACTGTGCAGGCCACGCTCTAGCTCCAGTGGAGCATCCACCCCTGTTCAGCGGGGCCGGCGCGCCCACCCTCTGGGCCATACTCACAGTTTCATCTTCCAGTCGGAGCTGGAGGCTCTTGTCCCCCTCCTTGTAGTCCTTGGTTAATTCAGCGGAGCGCCACACATCATCGGGGTCAGGGATCCAGACCCTTGTGTACTGAAAGAGTAAAACAAAAGCAGCTTAGCTGACAAGAGAAGTTTGCAGGTGTGCCCTCTACTAGGGACCCTCAGGAGAACGTTTAAAGCCATCTCCACACATTTTCCTCTCTTCTCATTTCAAGATACAAGGTGATCCAATACCAGGACGACAGACAAATGAGAACTCACTGGATTGGTAACAGAGGACACCTTCAAGATCCTATGAGAATATTACAGATCAATGAAATTCTAATTCTACCAGGGAATGCCAAGCTTACATTTTGTTCTATCCGGAGTTTTAGTTTGTTTTATCCAGAGTTTTACACCATCTCAAAAGGTGCTACAAAATATCTATGTCAGAGGGAGCACCTAGTGAGCTGCAAACAAAACATGCAAAACCCAACGAGACAGTGTAGCAAGTCCTCAGAACCCGGGAATCTCTGCTTTGGTATTTTGCATTCAGGGTCAAAGTTATTTTCCTGCAGAAGTGAAAGAAAGTGGTCAGCAAACTGAAACTATGTTAATATATTCCTGAGTTGTCAGCAACCTCATTTTAGCTGTGCTTTCTTAAAAGCACAGACACATCCCCAAATCTCACCCATCCTCCCCCAGCCACCATCCACATCGGGATCTCAAGGTCATTAAGCTGCCCACATCCAGGTGGGGAAGAATGCAGCCAGTCCCCGCTGGGTGGGAGGCACTGTCCACGTCGCTCGGGGGCTCTGGCCCTGACCACACTTTCGAGTCGCCGGGGAGCCTTGGAAAGACCAGGTCTGGGCCCACCTCGGACCCTGCAGTCCAGGTCTGAGGGATCTGAAAGCTCCAAGGTAAGCATGAAGTGCAGGCGGGAGAAGCAGGGTCCGACCCACCGGCCGGCAGCATGTGGATCTCCCAGTGACGTCACCTTCAGCAACACACGCCTGCCATCCGTCAGACACCTCTCTCAGTATTTGCCTCGTAGGCATGCCATTTCCACGGGGCCTATTTGATTGAGAAGCTGTGTGCCTGAGCACACACCTTCCCTCTATTTTATATATATATATATATAATATACACACACACACACACACACACACACTTACGTACATATATACATAAATACACACACACACACTTACATACATATATATACACACACACATTTGCCCATATATATATATATATATACACATATCTCTTGCATCTCCTATATATATATATATATATATAGGAGATGCAAGAGATATGGCTTCAATCCCTGGAAGATTACCTGGAGTAGGAAATGGCAACCCACTCCAGTATTCTTGCCTGAGAATCCCATGGACAGAGGAGCCTGGCGGGCTACATTCCATGGGGTCGCAAAGAGTTGGACATAACTGAGCATGCACACACACACAGATAGATGTGTGTATATACATATGTATTTATATATATATATATATATATATATATACGTATGAGTTGTAGGTATATATGTATGACATATATACATGTATGTCACAGGAGGCTTTTAGCAAACCTGAAACGAATAGCTCTCAAGATCTAAGACCACCAGAATGTGTGCCTGGGTCAGCACCACCCGCGTCCCTCATGGACAAACAGCAAAGCTCCCTGTGGCCAGTCAGGTGCCAGCTTGATTTGGGTCCTGTTTTTGTTAATTTTTTTTAAATACAGCATTCTCCTCCAGGTGATCACTGGCCTTTTGGAAAAGCAAGCCCCAGCCCCTGCTACACTTGTCTATAATAACCCACTCCAGTATTCTTGCCTGAGAATCCCATGGACAGAGGAGCCTGGCGGGCTACATTCCATGGGGTTGCAAAGAGCTGGACATGACTGAGCATGCACACACACACAGATATATGTGTGTATATACATATGTATTTATATATATATATATATATACGTATGAGTTGTAGGTATATATGTATGACATATATACATGTATATCACAGAAGGCTTTTAGCAAACCTGAAACGAACAGCTCTCAAGATCTAAGACCACCAGAATGTGTGCCTGGGTCAGCACCACCCACGTCCCTCATGGACAGACAGCAAAGCTCCCTGTGGCCAGTCAGGTGCCAGCTTGATTTGGGTCCTGCTTTTTGTTAATTTTTTTTAAATACAGCATTCTCCTCCAGGTGATCACTGGCCTTTTGGAAAAGCAAGCCCCAGCCCCTGCTACACTTGTCTATAATTCACTATCAAGGAGCGAGTGTCATGAGGCAAGAAGCTCAGAGCACACGGTTAACGGGAAAGCAAACCACCAATTTGGATCACTGATACCCCAGCTCTGGGTGCAAAGCCAAAGCTGTCCTTTGGCCTTAGAATGAATCAAGGTCACAGAATCTTCTCTCCACCTCTGAACCTGGCCTAGAGCAAGATATTACTGTATCTTTGAAGGGAGATACTATAGAGCTTTATAGCATCTTGAGTGCTATGGACTAAGACACGAAGAAAATTCGGAGGTATCTCTAGAGCAAACAGTGTTTCAACATTCCTCCTCTCTCGGGTGTTCTAACTTACCTTCTCCTCTGCCATTTAAGCCTGCTGTCCATCCAGCTGAGGGGACTTTTAAGTTCCTGCCCCCCGGCTTCAGGACTTCCCTGAGCCCCGCTACAGCCCGCGTCCCTGAGTGAGGCTGCCAGGATGTCCCCAGTCGGAGGGGGGACAGCGCACGCAAAAGGTCCTAACTCACAGCCTAGTCTCCACTCTGTAAAACAGCACTGGGAAAGGCTGAAGATAAAGTGACGAACAACAGGAGGGGGCAAGTGCCGGCAGAAGGCGAGTGGAGGCGGTGAGCTGTGGACATGGTCAAGCTGGGTGATGCACTGGAAGCCACAGCCCGCACAGGGCTCCTCTGCCTTAACCCTGCCGTCCACGTGCCTCGCACAGGCCAGTTCACTATATGCAGCAGCGGGGAACCCCACTGCCTGGCCCTTCTGTTTAACTCTTACTCTGGGAGGGTCCATTTACCTTTCCACTTACATCAATCTAAGTAGAATGAAAACATCTGGTAGGCGGAAAACTGTCGTTTACATTTTCTGATACCCACAGAATTTTCAACTGAGCACTGAAGAATTGACACTTTTTTATTGTGGTGCTGCAGAAGACTCTTGAGAGTCCCTTGGACTGCAAGGAGATCAAACCAGTCCGTCCTAAAGGAAATCAGTCCTGAATGTTCATTGGAAGGACTGATGCTGAAGCTGAAACTCCAATACTTTGGTCACCTGATGTAAAGAGCCGACTCACTGGAAAAGACCCTGATGCTGGGAAAGATTGAAGGCAAAAGGAGAAGGCGGCAACAGAGGATGAGATGGTTAGATAGCATCACCAACCCAAAGGACACGAATGTGAGCAAACTCCAGGAGAGAGTGGAAGACAAAGGAGCCTGGTGTCTATGGGGTCACAGAGTTGGATACGACTTAACAAATGAACAACAACAGCATCTAACACAGCATCGGGGCGTGAGGGGACCCTAATAACACTTCAGCTCCTTGCTACTCCAAGTGAGGACCTCAGCCACACCACTACCCAGGAGCTTGTCAGAGATGCATAATCTCACACCCAGGGCTAAGAATGGGCTCATCTAGCGCCTGCTGTTCTGCCCCTGCCTGTGACCTCAGCCTTCCCTGCCTTGGTACACAGGCCAGACTACAGCCTGGGCCGAATGAAGTGTCCAACTGTTTTTATACAGCCCATGAGTTAAGACTGGTCTTTAAGTGGTTAAATGGCTGAGGGAAAAAAAAAAAATCAAAAGAATGATAATCACAGGCTAACACGTGAAAACTGTGCATCAGATTCTGGTGTCCATAAAGTTTTATTGGAATACAATGACACAGTCTACTTAAGGCTGCCTGTGGCTGCTTCCACATATCAGTGATGGCTGTGACACAGGCCCTACGGCCCCCAAAACCTAACTTATTTGCTCTCTGGCCCTTTGCAGAAAAGGTTTGCTTCCCCTGACCTTTGAACACACCGTTTCCTCAGCCTAGAATGTCCCTTCCTCCCCACGACCACATGGGCAGAGTCCAAGTTCCAGCGCCATCTCCCCACTGAATCCTTCCTTCCCTGCGCCCTACAGAGGCAGCCCTTCCCAACGCTGGGATGTGGCAGCCGGTGCATCTCGCATCAACTTTCTTTATGGTTTTGCAATTGTTTTCTTTTCATCAGTTTCCTCTTACTAGCTCCACGTCCCTCAGATACACCATCAGGCATCTTTGCATCCCCAGCACGTAGGAGATGCTCCGGAAATGTTTACCGAGACAGGAATCGGTGGAGGGACTTGAGTGGACATACACGTGGAATTTAAAAACAGAACAAATGAGTTTCTTTGCAAAACAGAGATAGACTCATAAACACAGAAAACAAACTTACAGTTCCCAAAGGGGAATGAGGGGAGGGATAAACTGGGAGGCTGGGATTTACAGACGCAAACTGCCATATATAAAATAGATAAACAAGGATTTACGGCGTAGCACAGAGAGCAATACTCAATATCTGGTAATAAACTATAATGAAAAAGTTGAAAAACAACATAGATATAGACACATATATATAATCAAATCACTTTGTTATACACCTGAAACTAAGACGTTACTGTAAATTAACTACACTTCAATTTAAAATAAAAGGCCTTGAGGGAGGAAGCCAGATGTGATCCGAGTTGTGGAGATGGAAAGAATTTGTCAGGGATGGGTTTCCTTTGCAGTGGTGAAAAGGTTTGGTAACGGGATAGACAAGCTGGTTGCACAACATCGTGACTGTATCAAATGCTAATGGACGGTTCACTTAACAGTTAATCTTGTGTGATGTGAATTTCACCCTAATTTTGGTGGCATGTGGTGCAAACAGTATCCTGTACACCTCTCTCCTGACAGGGGTACTTGCCTCTCACCTCTGGGAAAGCAGTCAGATCAAATATCTTCTCTTAACGGAAAGCCATCATTTCTACGAGCCAGATAGAAACTTCCTAGAACCAAGGTTCTGTGCTGCCTTTTCATCTTTTTTTCTCACCTTCAAGGAATTCCTTCCAACACACCCA